CGGGCGCCGCTCGTCCCCGGGGCCAGCTCACGGGCGAGAAGGTGCTACTTCAGGAAATTTTTCGGCTGCCCGTTGCCAAGGATCCTTGTTTGGGGAATGTCTTCTCTTCGAACTCTCTTTCTGGGAGGTTTTTTGGCCGTTTGATGGGTGTGGGAGCTGAGGGTGGGTCAGCCCGTCCCCGTGGGCTCTTTGCGGAGCGCTGGGCTCGGTGCCGTTGCGTCAAGGCTGGACTGTCCCCGTCATCTCCGTGGGCTGGTGGAGGTGGGGTGAGAAGGGGACGTTCCTCCAGAGGAAACGGTGCCCACCGTTCCTGCAGGGTTTCCGCTCGTTTTCATTTCATTTGCTTGACAGAGGGGCACCCAAACCTGGGTGAACGCCACCCAGAAACCAGCAGCCAGCACAGCACAAGCCCAGATGGCAGAGCTGCATCTCGGGGGCTGTAGGAGCCAGAGGACACCAGGAGAGATGGTCGCTCTTCCAGAGGTCTCCAGCCTCACCTCCTCTCCACCCAAACCTTCCTGCCAAGGCAATAAACCATCTCCAAAATCCTCGTCCACCAGGAAAAGCGGGTCATGCTTGTGTCCCCACCAACATCCACCACCCGCTCGTGCTACCTCCGGAGCGAGTTGTCCCATACGGGGAGAGGGACTGGCATGGGACACCCACGTTTGCCATCTCATCGCCTTCCCGAGCAGCCTGAAGGAGCAACCCTGGCCAAATTGTCCTGAAATCCAAAGCTGCTGGTGAAATCACCAACCCAACTGCCTTGGTAGATCCCCTGTCTATGGCCATGGCTGGGTTTTAATCCTGCTTTTTTTCTTCTGGCTGTCTTCTGCCTGCAAGGACATCATTGCCCCCAAAATACCCTTCTGACCAAAGGAAAAGGTTTTTGAAAGACATCCAGCACGGTCAGGCGTCTCCACCCAGGGGAGAAGGTGCCAGGAGGTGCCCACACCATGGGGGACGCCCATCACAGCACTGCCAGCAGCAGGGACGCACCGGCCTTGACCACAGTCCCCTGCCACCCCGAGCCCCAGCTGGGCATGCTTGGACCCAACGTGCTGAGCTGAGAGGAATCGACTGGGAAAAGCAGATTTGGGGGGGGTTGTCCTCTTCTCCGGACCATCGTTGGAGGTTTCGGTGCCTGTTGGCCAGTGTGGCTGCAAGGAGATGGCCCTTCCCAGGGCATCTCCTCTTCCTCCAGCCCTGCTGGGGTGATGGGCTGCCACGGAGCATCCCCCTGGGAAGGAGAAGGCTGCAGACCCATCTTGGTACCACCTTCCTCATCTACGGAACAAGAGCTGCAGACCTCAGCCGGGGGCTCTCAGCATGACGACAGCCCACAGGGACCCCGACAGAAAATAAAATTGATTCCAAATTGCTGAAGCTGGTGGTGGGCTGGAAGCAGCTCCTGGGTCTCCCAACAGAATCACAGAATCACAGAATCACAGAATAGTAGGGGTTGGAAGGGACCTCTGTGGGTCATCTAGTCCAACCCTCCTGCTG